TTGCTGTCTGCTGCCGGTCTCCTGCCTGTCTTGGCCATGGACCATCACACTGCCTATTTAGGTTGGGCACGGTGACTCTGTGGGTTGTCTCCCCTCATAAAACTTGAAATATAAATGCAAGAAGAGGCCACCTGAAACAGGGCAGCAGGCTGCACCTCCTCAATTCCCTTGTTCAGCAAACAGACATGCAGGGCAGCCTCTTACCCAGCGATTGCATACAGCCTGCCCCGCAGCACAGTAGCCCCGACGTAGCAGCGGGGGGTTGTCATGCTTGTTACAGTTGTCCAGGAATCAGTGCGAATATTATAGGCTTCCACAGAGGAGAGATGTGCCGTCCCATCAAATCCACCAACCACGTAAATGTGGTCATTCAGCAGAGCCACTCCAGCCCCTGGAGAGAGAGAAGACAGCACAGTTACACCATGACCAGCACCGTTGTCACCATGCCCAGGGCTTGCTGTTATAAGCCCAAATTAAGTCAATTCCTCCCCTTTTCAAAGGACATTTTCTTATGCTTCTATCTCCCATAAAAGAGTTGTCTTCTGTTGCTGTCTGCAATATGATCCACAAAAACCTGTCACTCTACCAAATGCTGCTGACTCTCTGGCATAAAGGGGTCTGCGCAACACTGCAGCCAGGGCAGCACCTTGGCTGAGGACGCTCCGACCCCCTCAACAGACCAGCATAAGGCTTGCTCTGCTCGCCAGCAGCCAGCTGGGATTCTGCCACCAGAGACGAATTTCTGTGGTGTTTCTGGCTCCCTGGTGTCACCCAGCCCCTGGCTGTTACAAGGAGAATGACACTGCTCCATGAGAAGCTGGAGGAGGGTCTTGTTTGACATGGCTTTTCTGGAAGGCCAGGAAATGAAAACTGGTGTCCACTGCACAGTCAGAAGTGTAAGTGGCCGAATCACCTGTCTGAACAGCTGTTCTCACAGTACAAACAATCAATAACACAGTTGGCCCCACTGGGAATTTATGTCAACAGCAGAAAACAAGCCTCTGCCAGCCCCTGTTCCTAATCTGCAGCTCCCGTCGGGTGAAGCACCAAAGAGCACAGTAAGGTAACAATGCACTTAATGGCTTTAGGTGCTCTGGCCAACAGCCACTGCTCTTTCGAGCGACATCTTGAGAGCAGAGTAAACCCCGTCAGGCTGTTACCATCAAAACGTAACTACTGTGCTGATGAGAATCCCAAAGGAAACAAGCCAGCTACCCTGCAGCTCTTGGGCACCAGCCTGTTTCTTCTACACACAGGGTACAGGAGGCTTTCTGTTCCACTAAATGCAACCTCACTTCCACTGTCTGTCCTTGCTGAGAGCACTGGAACAGCTGGGAATGGCCAGGCTGCCCCAGTGGTCTCTCAGATCACTTCAGTGACGAAGACTCTGGCTGAGAAGAGAGACCAGACCAAGGCCTAATCAGGGAAGTTGGGTTTAGCAGTGCAATATGGCCAAGGTTTCTGCGTCTACCTCCAGAATCTGTCCTAAGGGATGGAGAGAAATGAGGAGACAATCTCTGTAAATAAAGGCAAAATTACTTTTAGTCCTGGTCTCGCAATTCAAAGACCTGCATCCAGACCGTTCCAGAAAGAGTAAGAAGTCCTACAGAGTCCAGTGTCCCCAGGACGGATGGACTGGAACTGATACCAGGATGGCGGTTGCAAGTGCAGCTGGTATCTGAGCTGCCAGTAGTTAGGACTGTTATTACTGCAGAGTGGCAGCACAAAAACCTGGGCCAAACATTGTTCTTGGGCACACCTCTGTTCCAGATCTCAGTGCTTCAGGTCACAGCACTGAGGCAGGAAACTGGCTGAGCCAGTGCCGGGGTCAAGAGCCTCACAATGTTCCTGCTCGCTTGTGGCACGGAGGAGCCTGCTCTGTGGGACTAGGCACTGCTACCAAAAGCCTCCAAGTCTTGTGGGAAGCCAGCACGGACCTAGGAAATGCTTCTTACAAAAGGCTTTTCCCTTGAATGCTTTGCTTTTGGTCTTGCCTGAAGCCATCTTTCTGTGGTGCACATGACAAACCCTTGGGGAAAAGCTGTCTCATGCTTAAGCTTTCTAGAGATCCATGGATAGGTCTCCCATGTTGCCTTTGACGCAGAAACCCCTCAGATTTTAGCACACATTTGAATGGGGGGTCTTCCTGGATGTGGAAAGTGAGCAGCTCCTAAATCAAAACCCATCCTTGGCATATGGGAAATACTTTCCGATCCACACTTAACAGGAATAGTCCTGTCACAGAAGTAAATATTTAAGGCTTGGGGTTTTGGTGAATTGCTACTGCAGGCACAAGAAAGCTTACATGTTTTTAGAACAGAGATCAGTTTTGAGTAACCAGCACTTGTCCCTGAACAAGAACACTGGAGCAGAGAACAAACAGAAATAATGCTGTCTAGGTAAATTGTGAAGGACATTTATTGAAGGAACTACAGAAAAAGCAACTTTAAAAGGGTTTTGAAAGAGGGCCTGTAAGCGCAGCAGATCTACATCATTGAGAACCACAAATCTGTGGAAGCACTGAGCATGTGCCCATCCACGCGCAGCTGGGCAAGGCCATGGCTGCTCGCCAGCACGGCTGTGAAGGTCTGGGGCAGGTGGCCTGAGGTGCAGTGCAATAGCAGAGGGACAACACTCGAGCGCACAGGAGCTGCGCAAGCCCCACGAGAACCCCTTTGAGAAATGGAGAGTCGAGACAAAGTTATTTAAAAAGTAGAATTTAAACTATGTTTTTAATTTAAACTATATTTTTCTCCTAGATACAGCTGCCAAACTTAAAGCTCAGACAGAACGCCGAGCAGGAAAGACAAACTAAGAGGTGGTGGGGGTCAGTTAATGTGCGGCTGTACCATGTACCAGCAGTGTGCCCAGGTGGCCACGAAGGCCAATGGCATCTTGGCTTGTATCAAAAACAGCGTGGCCAGCAGGTCCAGGGATGTGATCCTCCCCCTGTACTCGGCACTGGTGAGGCCGCACCTCGAGTACTGTGTTCAGTTCTGGGCCCCTCACTACAAGAAAGACATTGAGGTCCTGGAGCGTGTCCAGAGAAGGGCCACAAAACTGGTGAAGGGTCTGGAGAATATGTCTTATGAGGAGCGACTGAGGGAACTGGGCTTGTTTAGCCTGGAGAAGAGGAGGCTGAGAGGAGACCTGATCACTGCCTACAACTCCCTGAAAGGAGGTTGTGCAGAAGTGGGTGTTGGTCTCTTCTCCCTAATGACAGATGATCGGACGAGGGGGAATGGACTCAAGCTGCGCCAGGGGAGGTTTAGATTGGATGTAAGGAAGAAGTTCTTCACCGAAAGGGTCATCACACACTGGAACAGGCTGCCCAGGGAGGTGGTGGAGTCACCATCCCTGGATGTGTTTAAGAGACGGGTGGATGAAGTGCTGAGAGATATGGTTTAGTGGCAGACAGATACGGTTGGACTGGATGATCTCTAAGGTCTTTTCCAACCCAGTGATTCTATGATTCTATGTTTCAAGCCATTAGTGCAAGACTGCTGCAGTGTGACACTGCTCTGGCAGCGCTGCTCCCTGCGCTACCGCTGCCCCAGGAGCCGAGGCCCAGCATTTCACAAAGCAGCGTGCAGGTGAAGGGGCAGTCTGCCAGAGCACTCCTGTCTTTGCTGTGTCCTGTGTGGCTGATGAGCACCACCTTAGCACACTGTCCCAGTATCTTGCACTACGGTCTGTAGTTTGTGCCTTGCTAGCTTTTCTCCAAGCTTCCTCGTCATGGAAGTCACAGAACTTCCTCTCCCTCCCTGCTCTATGCACATCTTGGCATGGGATGGAGACATCAGGCATGTGAAAATTAATCTTTTTCTTGTGGAGTTAAGTCAGCATGTCCTAAAATCATCCCTTCTCAAAGCCAAACCATGCACTGGGGCCAGTCAACATCCTTCAGGGCAGCAGGCCAAGCCAGCATGAGTGCTTCCTCAGTGCAGCACACAACATTTTGACCTCAAGGCACTGCGGGCTCTTACCTGAGCGCTTAGTGGCCATTGGGGTGACATTTGTCCAGTGTCCAGTGTGGGGATCATATCTCTCTACAGAATTCAGTATGTTCAGCCCATCATAGCCACCTGAAACAAAATACCGGAGCAAACCATGGGTCTGACCTCTGGAAAATGTTTTCTGTGTAGAGAGCAGTAACAACTGGTTCATCCTTAGCACAGCCAATCAGCACAACTCACAGCACGCTGGGGGCTGGCAGAAGGGCAAGGATCTCTGCAGCTTGCAATGCCAGCATGGAGCCAGCTCAGAGTGAGCTCAGCCCCTGCGCTGCACAGGGCCATGCTGGGAGAAGCCCTGCCTCTCCAAACCAGTACAGCCAGGCTAGCACTGCCCTGCCCAAAGCCGCCTCCAAGCACGCTGGTGCCAACGCTGATGCTGTCCTGCTACAGCAGATGGACAGCTTCTAGACCTGGCGCTGGCGCAGGGCCTGTGTGCTACAGCTGCCAGCTGACATGAGGAGGCTACACAGAGCGTAGGCTGGGATGTCCCAGAGCTGTTTCACAAGAGGATACCAAGGAATCTCATTGTGCAGCTTCTGCAAAGGAGCAGCATTCTGACATCTGCCTCAGGGGACAGCATGAGGAAGAGGAATCTGGGAGAGGAGAGCAAAACCCATAAACAAGTGTCCAATATACATGACTCCCAGGAACAGGACTTCAGCACATGTGTACAGCACTGGGCCTGCCTTTTCTGGGGCACAGGAGGTGTATCTACAGAATAAGCTTACTGAAGTCTTCAGAGTGATTTGCTCTCTAGCACTCTCACCATATTCACAGCTGGTGTGGGTGTCTGAAAATGAAATAAGTGCTACAGAAAGCAGCTAAAAAACATACGGCTTAGGATACATTTCTGGATCACTACAGCCAGCATTGCTTTGTGTGGAGCACTACAGCCAGCACTGCTTTGTGTACAGCCACCCTCTGTCCTGTGGCTACATGCTTCATCTCTAGGACGTTTTAGCCACTGCCCAGTCCGTGCAAGCCTCAGCTGGCACTACTCATCCCCCAGGCTTCAGTCATCCCTCATACGCTGGCTGACTGCGTGCAGTTTGCTTCTGACAGCACTTACTGTAGTGATGTTGCAGTTCCAGTCTAAGCCATTGTGATGGTTGGGGTGAAAACAGGCTGCACTTGCCCAGTGCAGTGAAGTTACACCTTCTCCTCTATCCTGGACATAACTGGTGCTCCCCCTGCACAGCATCTGCACTGTCATTTCTGTAAAAAGCAAGTATTTGCAGAATGCCTAGAGGTCCTAAGGGTACCTACCCAGGCAGTAGATAACTCCATTAGCTACAACAAGGCCCGCTCCTTCCCGTGCTGTCTGCATGTCTCCCAGCATACTCCACTGATCAATGTTCGGGTCATATCGTTCCATACTGGTGTGACGTCGGCTTCCATCAAACCCACCGGAAACATAGATCATGTCTGCAACATCAGACAGAGGTTGGACTCAGCAAGTCAAGTATCAGTCATGCACACGGAGCAAGAAGGCCCTTACAGATGGAGCAAAACTACAACATGGATTGCAAAATACAAGAGCAACTACAGATCTTGGTGCATTTGGATTCAAGAGAAACCCAGCCTCCTCACCCTAGCTCACTGCATTAGCCTGCTCACGGACCCAACAAACAGCACACACATAAAACCCATCTGGTCCTTAAATCTGCTTCTTGCCGATGGCTGAAAGAGAACATGCACACCCCAGTTATTTTTTTCATGCTGCAGAACCTACTGAGGTACTGCCTTGCCCAAACCCTGCCTATCGCTAGTGTCATGTCAGCACCTCCCCAGAGTAAGGTTACAAGGTTGTAAACACACAGGTAGCAAAGGGAAAGAAGATCCAAAAGACATATCTGGATCATCAAGACCAGTCCTTTATACTGGAGAACCTAACTCATGCAACGCTGTCACGAATCTGTCGTCTTCAAAGCAGCTGCATTTTTAACAGAGTTTTTATTAATTATTAACAATATAAATGAATGACATTTAAGCAATATTAATTATTAAGAAGATATTCTAATATAAGCATTAAAGGACAAAATATTTCTTAGAGTGACTGCTATTTTAATGGCTAGAAAACTTCCTCTCATTTCCACACTAACTTTTTCCTGGCCTGTTTATAACCATTTGTTCTTATTCAATTCTTCTATTGCCCATTTCCTTCTCTTGCCAAGTTATACTCAGAGAGAACAATCATATCCCTTCTTGGCCTTGCTTTGCCAGCACAGGCAAGCTGAAGTGTTCTGGTTTGCTCACTGAATCCTTCCCTGCACATGCTCCAGTTTCAGCCTCTCTGCAGTGCTGGATGGTTATTGCTGTAGTTGCTGTCCCCTGCTCAGTAACACGCAACACTGTCACCACCCCAAGAGCTTCCCACTCCATAATCCCTCATGGAGTTCCTCTTCCTCCAAGCAAAGACACATGCCGTAAGAATGGAGCAGAGGCAGAGCTCCTCTCTATGTGGGTAAGTTTTCCATTTCTACATCCAAATGATGAGAAGGCAGAATTTCAGACTTCCCTCCTCCCTTGGAGCCATCCCACGCTGCACATACCTGCTCAGGGTATTTCAGGACAAGAACTGAACAGGCTGTACTGCCCTGCGAGTACAGAGACCAGGACATACCTCCAAGGGTTGTGGCTCCTGCCAAGCCTCGCCGTACATTCATCGGAGCCACAGAGTACCAGATACCATCCTCATCTGACGTATAATCCAAGCACTCCACTGAGCTGAGACGAGAGCGACCGTCATACCCCCCAATCACATAGATCCTATCATGCAGGGACACTGTAGCAACATAGCGCCTCTTACGGGTGATGCTCTAAAACAGTAAAAAGAACAAAAAGGTCAAGAAGAGGAAATAACAGTGATGCATGGGACCAAGCGCTGATCTTCCATCCTCTTTTACTGCTCTTTTGGAAAATGGCCCACTACCACAGAGGCAAACAGCACCATGGATGTAAAGGATGTAGCCTTAATGGCTGCGTCTGCCTTCCTCTGCCTGTACTCTGTCTCTGCCATGCTGTCTTCTCATGGTCAGGTCTCTCTGCACTAAGATATTTTGCTTTAAATGTCATTTATCTTATGCTGCTATTGAATCTTCAGTGCATCTTGGAGGTTTGTGTGCTTCCCACTGTCTTCCTGCAGAGACTGTTAATGGGAAAATGTGGAGACTCAGAATACAAAAAAGCCTGAAGCTTTTAGCCTTCAAAAAAGAATGTAATTTTGGGACACCAGGTGATACTGGGTCTTCTGTGATTAGCGGCATTAAAGAAGAGGCAGCTCTCCATCATTTTGCATAGATAAAGGTGATTTTAAATTTGGGTAGAAACAGAATCATAGAATGGTTTGGGTTGGAAGGGACCTTAAAGACCATCTAGTTCCAACCCCCTGCCATGGGCAGGGACACCTTCCACTAGACCAGGTTGCTCAAGGCCTCATCTAGCCTGGATAGTCCTCAGTGCAGGAATTGTCCCTTCTTATCTCCCATTATGCTCAGAAACAACAAAGCCAGAGACATCCTTCAGCCTGCCTGAAAGCAGGACTGATTATACTATTCCTACTGACATTTTAATTATCAACAGTAACCTTAAACCTTAACACCCCTTCAATAAAAAACATGATAGCCCTCACTCCCACAACAAAGATGTGGCTCATCTGGTCAGAAATGTGACAACCACCTCTTATACAAAGCTCACGTAGCAAATTTGCAAATGTTTCAGCATTCACTATGCAACCTCAGCAGCTCTAAAGAATTTCTGTCAGAAATTCTAACCAGAATGCAAAGGACAGCCCAAAGAGAAATGTTAATAGCTGGTGCTACAGGACCAGTGTTCAATCACTGCCTGTTCAACCCAGTGGTGGTCAAAAACGGTCCCTTACCGGCAAGAAACTCCACTCCTGAGTCTTCGGGTCGTATTTTTCCACAACATCTATAGGTGACTGCTGGCTGCCAAAGCCGCCGATGACAAGCAGGACTTCATTAGCTCCTAGAGTAAAGAGGGAGAGCAAAGTCAAGTCAATCCCTTAACAACCAAAGGGTCGTCTCAAGGGAATCACCTGAAGAAACACTGATCTTTCCCTGGTGCAACAAGCTGCCTCTAAATCGCTGTTTTCATCACAGCTCTGAAGCGGGCACCTAACCTGGCTGCAGGCACTTGGACTCCCTCTATCCTGCGCCAGGAAGAAGAGAAACTCGTCCAGGGTGTGTGGCAGTAAGACCACCTCATGCGTTAGGAGCTGGCTGCTGGAGGGCCGTTCCTCCTAGTACCAGTGGCACTTGGAGAAGACAAGCTGGCTAAGTTAGGTGCTGAAGTTCGCTCGTTTAGACCTTCTTTTGTATTCTTTCTGTGATTTTTTTCCCAAACCCCTCACCACCCCATGAAAGCTGAAAGAGGATGGCTACTTCCCTGCAGCCTCCTCACAAAACAAGGCCGTTTTGCCTTGTTTGCAAGTGACATCCAGACCAGATGGCACCTCTGTTCACCACTTCACTGAGAAACAAGTCAGGCTGACTGAAGCCTGAAAAATTAATGAAATATTTTCACAGGAATTGTCTCTTATGTATTTTATTTCAAAGTTGCTGTCCCCCTGCTTTCTTTTCTCTGAGAAAGTTTCTGATTTTTTCTTATTTTGTCTGTCACTGTTAAATAACACTTGTGACCCCGGGGAGTTTTAACTTACTTACAATGATTGCCTTGAAGGTAGGTTTCTATCAGTTTTAAAAATAGATGAGCATCCCCTGGATCCCTTGGGCCCTTCTGTAACAGGGACTTTTACTAGAGTTTAGAACTGTCCAGTTTTTCATTGCAGAAGGACTGAACACCAAGGAACAAAAATTTAACGAGACCCTGTCTGTCACAAAGCTAAACAGCTGCCACCTCAGATGAATAACTGTGCAATAATTTCAGTTTATCCCCTAGAAAGTTAATACACAACTTGCTCTCAGTTTACAAGTGTGTGCTGGTTTCAGTCAGGAAAGAGTTTACTTTCTTCACAGTGGCTGTTATGAAGCCAGGTTTCTGGATTTACCCTGAGATAAGGTCTTTTTAGCCGGTGCTGGGGAGTGCCTGCACCCAATTCAGTGTCTTTCTCAGCTTCTGATACGGCAGCTGCGTTCCCAACTTTCCCACTACAGGCAGTGTGGGGGGACACACAGTTCAGGCAGCCAACCCCAACTGACCACAGGGGTGTTTCATCCCGTAGCATGTCATGCTCTGTATGTAAGCGAGGAGTGGGCTCAGGGGCTATAAAGTCTTTTGCTGGCTCCTTTGCCAACTCCTCTGTTAGCTCTTTAACTCCTTTGATAAGTCTTCTGCTAATTCCTTTGCTTGCTCATTTGTTAGTGAGCTGGTAGGTCAGTTAGCTTTTCGCAGTCATGCTGTCGCTTGTGGGGCTCACTCGGACTCTGCTGCAATTGCTCTTGGGCTCTCTGGCTCTGGCTCTGACTTATTGGGACCTGGCTGTGCATTGGTTG